GCCCGCGCTGCCCGCGTCCCCGCCGCAGGTGCTGCTGCGCGCCCGCGCCATCGAGAGCCAGTGCTACGTGGTGGCGGCGGCGCAGACGGGCCGCCACAACGAGCAGCGCACGTCCTACGGCCACTCGCTCGTCGTGGACCCCTGGGGCACCGTGGTGGCCCAGTGCCGCGACGGCCCCGGCGTCTGCTACGCCGAGATCGACCTGGAGTACCTGCAGCGCGTGCGGCGCGAGATGCCCGTGCAGAGCCACCGGCGGCCCGAGCTGTACGGCACCGTGCCGGGAGCGCCTGCGGACGCCCAATAAAGCTGCCCGCGCCACCAGCTCCATCCCCGCACTGCCGGGTTCCTTCCCGCGCCGCCGGCTCCATCCCCGCGCCGCCCTCCCTGCAGTGGGGTGCAATGGGGCACACGGGCCGTTGCTGGGGCCGCCCCCGCGGCTGCTCAGCCTGGCCCTACAGGCGGCACCGGGGGTGTCACAGCCCCCTCATGGCCTTGGGGAGGGGGTTACGTGGGGACACACGTGGGTGTYTGTACACCAGGGCCGCTACGGCCAAGGTCTCCGAGTCCCCGTTAGGGCAGGCTGGGGCAGCAGCAGCCGGTGCCACCCTGCGTGTCCCCACTTCGTCCCTCCCCCAGGCACGGAAAGGTGCCCGTGGCCACAGGCAGCACCGGGCGCAAACCCCAGGAAACCGGCTGGGAACCGGCCCCGGCCCGGAGCAGCCAGGAGCCGCGCGGCCAAGGAGCAAAGGGCTGGGGCGGAGGCGCGGGAAGGARGGAGGCGGGCGCCCCAGGAGCTGCCCTGAAGGGGATAGAGGGGACATGGCCCAGCTCCCTGCTTGTCCCTGGGCCCAGCTGGGGACACCAGGGCTCACRGAAAAGGGACGGCTGCGCCTGGCCGCTCCGCAGGGTAAAGGGGGAGATGCTGCCCGAGGGACATGCCCGGTGTCACGGGACACAGCGAGGCCCCAGGGGGCTCCAGCTGGGAATGCCCCACCACCGCTACAGTCCCCCAAGGTCCCCAAGGGTCCCCAGCTGCCCAGAGGCACGGCCAGGGCCGGCGCGACGCCGGCACGGAGCTGGGCCCTGCGCGCGGGGCGGCTCCCGGCCCCTCACGGACAGGCCCCACGCGGCGCTTTTGCCTTTCGTTTTTAATGGGTACAAAATAAAAGAGAAAGGAAACAAAGCGAGAGAGCGAGAGGAGGCGACAGGACAGGACAGAGGGACAGGAAACCACGGGAGCCTCCGGCAGCGCCGCCCGCACTCTCCACTCCGGCCGCTCGTCCGCCCCGGCAGCCGGGGCCGGGATTTGCCGAGCACTTCGCAGGAGTCCAGGGAAGGACTTAAATGATCTTTTTTTAAAAAAAAAAAAAAGAAAGAAAAATAGAGAAAAACAAAAACAAAAGGAAAAAAAGAAGATCCCCAGGAGGGCGGAGCGAAGCGGGGATGGCGCCACACGGGCCGTGGCGCCTCAGGGGGCCGTTTGCAGCATCAAGTTCCTCAGGAGTTTCTGGCGCCCGACCTCGTAATCCTCCTCGTCCACGTTAACGAGCAGTTTGATGGCCTCGTGGCCCACGGCTTGCTTGAGCGAGTCCGTGATGAAGACGCCCTTGAGCGCCTCGAGCAACGAGCCGTTTATGTAGTCGCGCCAGAACGCGTCGAGGTAGGTGAGCTCGGAGAACTTTATGTCACAGATGATGGAGCCCAGGTCCCGCGATTTGAGGATGGTGTTGGCCTGGTTGAAGCGCTCGAACTGGCGCTCCAAGGGGTCCTGCTTGTTGGAGAAGACGTTGCCCTGAAGCGCCGTCTCGTGCTGGCAGTACTCGGCCCGGACTCGCAGGCGGATATCTGGGGAGGCAGAGGAAGGCGCTCAGCATTCCCGGCGGGAGCCTGAGGTGGGCTACGGGGATGTCCCGGCGGGACGGGGACCCCTCTTACCGCAGGTCTGCTTCTCTTTGGGGTCCGGTGTCACCGACTTCCTCCTCCTGCGCTGGCTGCCGAGGAGGGCCCTGCCGCGGCCGGGCCGCTTGGCGCAGAGCTGGGGCCCCGCGGACGGGCAGCAGACGACGGGGTGCTGGGCAGGCACTGCGCACGGCAGGGACGCGCTCAGCCCGCGGGCCCCACGCGCCCCCCGCGCCCCACGGCTGGCCCGGCGCTCACCTGATTTGGGGGGCTGCGCCAGGGCGGGCTCGGCGGCGCCGGGCGCCCGCGGCGTCACGTAGCGGATGGACGTCTCCTCCAGGTACTTGTCCACCAGATCCGGGCACACTGCAAGGGAGGCGGCTCGGGGGCGCCCGGCACCATGCGGCCCCCCAGCTCGGACGGATCCCGCGGGAATCGGGAAGCATCCGGCAGCCCCTGCGTTCACGCTGCTCCCCAGACACCCCTCCCGACAATCCCGAGGCCTGGGGCACCGGAGCAGCCCCYGTTATTTAAACAGCCTCAGTGCCAGACATGTGAGGGCAGCAGCGCCCAGGCTGGCTCCGGAGCAGCACTTCCCTATGGATAACCCGCAGCAGAGCCTCCCGCGCGCGGCCGCCAGAGCTCCTAGCGCGACCCGCAACGCCCCGCAGCGCCCGCTCCGTGTCCAGGAGACCGGCCCGGGTTAATCCCTAACCCACCACAAGCCCCTGGTTAATTTTCAAGCCGCCTCGGTGCCTCCAAGCCGCTTGTCCGAAGGCCGGCCGGGAATCCTGCCTCCCCTCGTGCTCCCAGCCCCAAAGAGGCGCCCGGCACCGGGAGGGCGCGACGCCCCGCTCGGGAAATGCCGCCGGCGGAGCGGTGCGGTCGGCGGGCTCGCGCGCGGGCGCTTACCGGCRCGGCGCCGCTTCAGCGTCACGTAGGGCAGCAGGTCGTGGCGCGTGATGATGCGCAGCAGCTGCAGCACCTGGCGAAAGTTGGTCTCGTCGCAGCGGCCCTGCCGCTCCAGCGCCAGCAGGAAGTCGCGCCCGCTGCGGATCATGCCGCGCTCGTAGTCGTCGATGACGTCCACGAAGAGGAAGGAGAGGACGCGCACGTCGCGGTGCGTCAGGTGGGTGCCCACGATGTCGAACATGCGGTGCAGGCTGTAGAGGCCGTGCTCGCGGTCGCCGCGCTCCTCCGGCCACGCCTGCGCCCGGCTCCGCTTGTGCGCGGCCATGGCGGGCGGCTCCGCGCGGCCCTGCGGGGAAGGGGAGCCGCTCACGGGGCGCTCGACGGGGCACCCGGGAACCAGCCGAGTGCCCGACCCAGCCCCCCGCGAGCCCCCCGTGCYGCAGGGGACAGCCCCGGCCCCGCGCAGCCCCCCGGGCTCCGCAGCGGCTCCGGCTGTCGCGGGGACCGGCGACGTCGGGACCCRGATCCTCACGGTCCGCTTCTCCCGGGGGAGCCAACCGCGTTTCCTTGCCCAAGTTGCGCATTCSCGACCGGCATCAGGCCCTCCTCATCCCACCGTGACGCTCCGGGTCTCCAAAGGCAAGAAGGGGAGACGGTTGCGGTGCTGCCGAGCCCGGAGCTTCGAACTCCCAAGGCTCGAGGGCCAACACGCCTCTCAGGAGGGTTTTCCCTGGCCAGGATTTCCCATGGAAGGTCCCGGCAGGGAAGCAGAGGCAATGGGGCAGGACCACGGCCTGGAGAGCACGGTCAGGCCGCCCTGGGCGCGGGACTCGCTCCCCCTTCAGCCCCGCGGGAGCCGTGGGCGCTGTCCAGGAGCGGGAGCGCCGGGGCCGGCTCCGCGAAGCCGAGCGCCCCGCTCTAACCCCCTTGCTGTCATCGCCCAGGGCAGCGCCGAGCAGGGAGAAGCKAAGGTGGGCCCGGGCACAGCCGGCTCGACGCCCTGCCCTCCTGTCACCCACGAGGACTACAGGGCGCCCGGCAGCGGGAACCMCCGCACCGCGACCCCGCGCCTGCGCCCACACCCGCCGCCGCCTGTGAGCCGCCCCCAGCTCCGCCTGTCCCGGGGAACCGCCCGGCTCCGCGCCCCTTCCCACCCCTTGACCGCAGGGCGGCTGCAGCACCCCAAGCGCGTCCGCGGCGCCGCGCGGCCCGGGACACAGGGCCAACACCATGACGGCCTCTGCAGGGAGGCCGCCACCGCCTCCCGGGCTGCCAAACCTCCCGAGCCCTCGGGACGAGCACCAGGAGCGGAGCCAGAGCTGCTGGGGCGGCCGAGGCACTGGGGAGCCCCCGGAGCCTTACGCTCCGGAGGCGGCTATCCGGATTACGCTCCCAGGAGGCCAGGGCGGMCCAAGTCCCGCTCTGTGGTTGCGCTGCAGCGCACACAGGGCCGCTGCGTCGCGCCCGCCCCGTCCGGGGGCATCCCGGGATCGCACGCGGGGGCTGACACCCCAGGTCCCGCACAAGGGAGCCGCGCGCGCAGCCGGCRCCGAGCGCTCGGCTCGTCACTGTAACGGAGCGAACAGGAAAAACGGGCCCTGGCGCCCGCCCGGTTAGTCAGCCCGAGCCCTTCTGGTCTCTGGGAGGCGCCTGGCGAAGCCGCGCGGTGCGCCGAGCAGGGGCCGGGCAAGACGCCCCGCGGCCGGCGGGAAGGCCGGAGTACCCTCGGAAGGGGCCTCCCTCTTGGGCTGCACCAGCCTGGATCATGAGGAGAGCCGCTTCCCAACTCGCTCCGGTGGGGAAAGTGCAGGAGGCGCCAAGAGACCCCCGGRAAGCGGGAGCTCGGGCCTTGGTGCCCTCGGCCGCCTCCGTGCCGCTCATCGCAGCCGCCAGCAGCTCCGCTTGGCTCTCCCGCCGGCCTCCGGACCGCTCCATGTGTCAAACACTAAGGACAAGAGAGGAACCCGCTCCTGAAGCCGGGAGCGCTGCCACGCGGCGCCACAGCCCCTTAGCGCAGCCGGGACGGGCGGGCAGCGCGCGGGGCTGCGATCCTGGGGACCCAAGGGGCCGCCCGGGACGCCCCGCGGCAGGGCTCCGGCACGCGCCTTCCCGGCACGCGCCTTCCCGGCACGCTCCCGCTGCGGCAGCTCCGGCCCGTCTGGGGGCCTGGACCTCGTTTTGGGGCATCAAACACAGGATTCCCCCGAGAACGGGGCCACGGCCGGCGATGCACACCAGGCACTTACACGGCTCTCGGGCACGGACGTGTTCTGCTGCAGTTAAACCCCCCTCGCATCCTGAGTACTTGTAACCCCACGAGGGCAAATGAGACATAAAGAGTGCAACCAGCAGCTGCTCCAGGGCAGGATCTTAAAACGTGTGGGTTTGGTTGGGCAATTATTACAATCCCACAAAAGCCCCGACTCCGGCTCCGCACACTGCTGGAGCACCGGCTGCCRCCCGGCTCCTTGGCTGATCCAGTGGATCCACGGCCTCTCCACACGCGCGTCCGGGAGCGCATCCCGCTCTCCGACGGCATCCGGACGYGCTCCGGCACGTGGCACAACACCCCCCACAGGCAGGCAGACAGCCGGAGCGCCGGCGCACGCAAACACCAGGAGGGAGAAAAACATGGAAACRACCTGCGAGGAAGGACTAGGAGAGCCAGGAAAGCGCCTGGGGAGCCTGGACAGGGGCAAGGAGCAGCAGCCTCAGGGGAACTCGCCACGGCCACGAGCGGAGCCGCCGGCAGCGACACTTCCAGAGCTGCGGAAACGCGCCAGGAGCAGGGCCAGGGGCCAGCTAAGCAGGACCGAGTCAGAAGTGCGAAGGAATCCACAGCGGCACCTTCCTGGTTGTCCTCCGGGGGGAGGCTTGGAGCGGCGCCTCCACGACCGCGCGCAGCTCCGGCCTCGGGAGCCGGCGCCGCGGGATCCCGAGGGAGCGCGGCCACGCGGAGCCCCRGGCAGGAGCTCGGCAGGGAGACGCAGCCCCGCTGCCGGTCGGGACGCGCCYGTGTCCGGGAGCAGGGGCGGCTCCGGGGATTATCCGACGGCACCGGCCACGGCAAGAGCTCCCGGAGCCGAACGCGGCTGCCCCCGGCCCGGGCGGAGGTGCCAGCAGCTGCTCCCACGGGAKGAGGGTCCCCCATGTCCCGCGCTCCAGGCTCCTCCGGGAGCATTCCCATCCCCTGCCCTAGCACCAGGGATTGGGCTTGGGCCGCCGCTCGGAGCAGATGTCACCACAACGCAGAGCGTTGTCACTTACGGCAGCAGCCCCCTGGGAAGGGGGAATCCGCGCGTCTCAGGGAACAAACATACTGGAAAACCAACCTTAGCGAGGAGCTCCTGGCGTCTTGCTGAGATCCCTCCCGGCGCAGCAATGTGGACGCAGGGGCCGAACGAGAGCCTTCGAGGAGTCTTCTATCCCCTTTTTTCTCCTTGCCTTTTAAATACACAGCCAGCGGAGCCGCGCAGGGGCCCGCCGAGCGTTTCACGGAGGGCGCTCGCACCACGGATGCCGAACCCCAATGCGGAGAGTTCAACGTTGGAGCCGGTCGACTTTCCAGAAGCCACCCAAGGGATTTTCATCCAACGACTCCGATGCCCAAATCTTTTTTAATTTCCTAGTTTACCCTAAAATAATTTATCGAGCGGGGAAAGGAGGAAGGTCCAGGACTAGCCTCGCTCGCTCTAGGTCRTTTCTTTTAAAGAAACCATTTCTGAAGAGCAAACTACCCTGTTTCCTTCTCGATGTCAGCTCTTTGGGCCGCCCTCGCTCCCCCAGGAGAGCACCGGGGTGCTCAGAAAACGTTTAAGTCTCAATTTTCCTCCTCAGCACAACCCTTTTTTCCCCCCCAGAACCTGAACTGGATGAAGCCGGGACCTTAACGCAGAAGCCCAAGGAAGGAGCCGGGCCGCTGCGTGCGGGGCCAGCCCATTCCCTCCCGCTCTCCGCTCACGAGCCGCAGCCGTCAGTGCCCGTCCCGGCTCCCGCGGCGGCTGCCCGGGCTGGGCCGGCCCGGTGGCTCCGGTGTCGCCGGAGCCTGCGGACGAATCCTGTCCCGGCCCYGAGCAGGGTGCCGCGGGGGGCTAGGGGGCCATGGCTCCCGGCCCGTTACCGGCGGCCCCGGGCCTTGCTCCTGCCTCC